TCCAGGGGCTGCTGCAAGCTCCCACAGCTGGCTGGTCAGTATGGATGAGTGTGAGCCACAAAGTCATCACTTGAGCCCAGCTGACCTCAGTCTCTGCTGAAGAAGCCCAGTGTGTTGCTGCAAACTATTCCTGGCCCACAACCCTTTCAATGGGAACTGGCCCTTTCCTCCTTGAATTCCCATCACAGAATGCTTCTTTCTTTCAGTCCTGCCTAGTTCATGTCCCAGACTACTGCACCTGTTGTTTTCCCTGCAGGGGACAACGAAGTGGGACTGTCCTGTGCAGTCTCCCTAAGGGCTTAACATGCAGCATTGCCTCCAGTTAGCATTGGCTGTAGTGGGTGGGCAAGGAGTCTGTTTTAGTAAGAGCTTTTCAAGCTGCCAGGTGCTCTGAGCAGGCACCAGTTGCTGGAGAAGACTGAGGAAGCAAGAAAAGCTGACAAAATGTGATGTGTAGGCCCTGAATGAAGCACTTTGCATCTTTGAATAAAACAAAACCAAAGAGGAAGCATCATAAGCAAAGGGGAAGCATTATTTTGAGACTTGGGAGACTGCAGCAGGGCAATATGGGGCTTCTGAGCAGATCACAGACCCCAGACCACAGCTCTGGGGTCTTTGGGGGAACTTGCAGCTCAGCCCCAGGGCAGTGCTGGGGCTTAGGGCAGGACATCCACCCCGTCCCCCAAACCCCAGTGTGTCAAACTCCTGCAAACCAAGACAAGAAGGTGGGAGCACTAGCTCCACCCCCCCCCCCCCCCCCCCCCCCCAGGCTCAGCAGCACAAAGGGCCCCTTTCACCTTCAGTGCTGCCACTAACCCTTCAGTATCTGCAGTCAGCATCCCTCCCTGGGATGTCAGTGGGTGCAGCTGGGAGCTGCCTCCAGCCTGGAGTTAATCTCTCCCTTGGCATTATCTCTCACAAGCTGGGATGAGCAAGTGGGTGGCTGCAGCATCCCAGAAGCCCAGAAGCATGCCCTCAATTGCTTCTCTGCATGATGGAGGAAAGAGGAGAGGAGAAGTACAGGAGGGTAGATGGCAGTAGACAAGGTGTTCTAGCCAGGTCAAAGCTCCAGATGCAAAGATGCTCTTTGAATGGCACAGAGCTGGATCAGACCCTTGGAGTGAAGAGCTCATGAAGAGGGGACAGGACAAACTGTCCTGTCCCTCTCCTCTGGTTGCCCCATATCACTGGATGCTGGGGCCTTTGAGGGGCACAGGACCCTGCCCAGGCTGACAGCTCCCATCCCCTTCCTCTGCATCCCCTGCAGCAGTCTCACACTTGCAGCACCAGCCCCACACCTGGCAGCAGTCAGATGCTCCTGAAGGTTTCAGAGCCACCCTGGCCTTGACCTCTGCTTAGCACTGACTCCAAACCTGCCTGCCTATACCCAACACTGCTGGATGTAGGGCTGCCTAAACTCCCCACTGCTGGGCAGCCTTGGATCCAGAGGGCTCAGACAAATCCTATGGATGGCAGGGAAGTCGGGGAGAAATATAAGAAGAAATGGGTTTCCCCAAATCCAGCCTTGAGGCAGCCACCCTGTTCTGCTGTCATGCCAGCTGCAGGCACCAGTATTTTAAAATTGAGGCTCAAACTTTGCCATGGGTGCGGAGGTTTCTCCATCACACTCTTTTGGGCCAGTGAGCAGTTGTGAAGATGTTTTTTTGGGTGGAGCCATGTCAAGGAGGCTGTAGGCAGACTTTGTGAGTGATTCTTGCCAGTACAGTGACTCAATCTCCGGTGCTGTGGTTGTGCCGTTAGCTCTGCCCCGATGAAATCACATCCTCCTCACCACAGCCCACGCTGCAGCATCAGGCTTTCACCCACCTGGGCTTGGTTGAGAAGATCGAAGTCGTGCATGGCTGTTTTCAGATGATCCCTGGGGAATTCCTGGTGCCCAGCCTGCCTGCACCTGTCCTGACTGTTCAAAGAGCTGGGACAGAAGGGATCCCAAATTTCTGCCTTGTCTACACCTACAAGGTTCACTGGCATAGCCCTGGGGAGAGCTTCTGACCCATGCTGTATCCTGTGGCAGGGCACCCTGCAGCACCCCTACTCATGAGTGCTCTAGCTGGGGCACAGCCACCAGCTCCATCTAGGGACCAGGTACAGCTTCAACCCAACTCTTCCCTCTCCTCAGAGCAGGGAAAGCTGGCAGGGTAGCCCTGAGTTCTCCTTCAGCTCTACACACTGCCCAGCACCAAGGACATGAGCAGTGTGGCTGAGGGGATGCTCAGCAAAGCTCAGGGACTGGCTTGATGTTTGTTTCTTTGAATTTCTGCCTGCAAACTGTCCAAGAGAGCTCAGCAGAGCTGGGGAGCCACTCTCATGCACACCAGGGCTGTGGGATGTGTGCAGTGTGTTTTCAGAGAACAGCCCGGTGTGGAGATAAAGAAGTCTCAGCATTTTGGGGAAACTCACTCTGGCCTGCCATGGCTTATACCTCACTTGTCCCTACCCCACCAAAGTGCTGTCGCTTCTCTCTCCCATCCTACCAGCGCAGTTCTCAGCATCCCCCTCCTCCCCGCCTTCATCCTGACTCACCGGACAGCTCCGGGCTGGCCTCCAGACGCACAGCAAAGCAGAGGAGGACCGCGGTCACTGCTGGCCTGAGCAGTCCGGCCATGGCACGGCCGCCGTGTCCCACCCGGCAGCTGGCACCAGCCGGGCATCGGCGGCGGGCGGTGCCGCGGGGCTGACACTGCGCGGGGACAATGGCTCGCTTCTCTGCCCTGCCGAGGTCCCGGCGCTCGGCGGGCACATGTGCACTCACTCTTAGCCTGCTGCCCAGGGCCAGAGGCTGCTCGGGACAGCTGGGTCACTCTCAGCACAGGAACACTTCCCCCAGGGCACCCTGTTACGGGTGAGCCGCGCCTTGGCATCCCATTGCTGGCAAAGAAACTGACAGCCCCTTTATTCCCGCCTCTGTTTCCCCTGGACAGAGGAACAGGGCTTGACAAGGTTTCCAAAGTGCCCCCAGTTTTCTCCCAGACACGGTGAGACAGAAATCCAGATAAATGTGTGCTGTAATCTCAATCTCGGCAAATGTCCGGCCATTCACTCTGTGAGGAGGAAGGGAAAGGCTCCTTGAACTGCCTCCCAGGCGGCTGTTCCTGCAGAAAAGACAAACACCCTGCACCCAACAATGTGGGAAGGGATCTCTTTGCTGCCACGTTTCTGCTCCCCAGTCTCTGTGGGGCCAGGTACTGGGCATTCTGGCACCTTGTGAGGAGGGCACCGTGTCATACTGTACCTCCCACCTGCAGGACTTAGATCCCTGCTTGCTGATTCAGCTGGAAGGAAATGCCATGGACTGGAGCTGCTGGCTCTTCTCCCGGCTGAGATCAGCAGAGACAGCAGCAGCTGGCAGTGCCAGGAGCCATCACAGTTCTCAGAGACTCAGCATTGCCCAGGCAGGGGTAGCTGGGGAGGCTGTGGCAGCAGTGGGTACTGGCACACCTCACCTGGGGTGCACAGCAGGAGCTGGGTGGTGGGTGTTGAGCTTGTGGTGGAGGCAATGCCATGGCCCTGGGGGACACTCACAGTGCCATCAATACATACCTCTTGATTATGGGAGTATGAGTCAGAGTGTCCTGTCCCATTGAGTAGGGTTCCAAATTCTCCCAAAGTTTTGATGGGGCAGAAAAAAATTGCCCACCCCCTGCAACCCCCAGTGTTAGCACCACTCTGGGCTGTGTAGCAGGGGAAACATCTTTGTTGGGGAGTCAGCTCCAGGGGTCTGCAAAATAATTTCCCGTCCTAATTGCCTTGAGGGAGATTGCTGTCTGATCAGGGGTTGATTATTTGGGGAAAGCTGGAGCTTATCTGAGCTGGGGGGGTTGGCTGAGTCAAGCATTGGGGATCCCCATTTTGTGCAATGGTACCAGTTATGTGGTCTAGGCATGCAAGACAGGTCTTGCCTAAGAGTTAAGCCTGTGTGTGCTGGGAAGATGTCTCTGCTGTCTCTGCAGCCAGGGTGATCTGACTGCAAACAGTTCCCTCCCATCCTGGGAGGAAAGCAAGCTGTTCATCCTTCCTGCAAAACAGCCCAGTTCCAGGAATGGGGCCCTGCTGAAGGTCAGCCCTGAAGACATCCCATCCCACCATCCTGCTAAGCACCACATAGCTGGCCAGCTGCCAGGGGCACTGTGGGGTTCCCCACTGCTCCCTGGCATGCTTCAGCATCTTTTATCTCCTGCCTAGCTTAAGATTTTGCAGTCCTTACCACCCAAGGGCTATGCCCCACCTTCAAAAAGTCAGTGACATGTGCCCAGACTGCTCCACGCAGCTTCCCTGAGCACTTGCCCTGTGCAGCCCAGCTCCTTACAGCAAGGGGTGCTCAGACAAGCCACACAGGGATCCCCTGAGGGTGGTGGGCTGGGAGAGGAGCTGTTCCTTCCCTCCGGGTGGCTGCCTGTCATAATGCAGCTCAGGAGGCAGCAAAAAGGTCAGCCATGCTTACCCCAAACTGATAAAGAAGCCCTGGGGTACTGGACATCAGCATGAGGATGGGAGAGTGGCAAAGGGCCAAGACTGGAGCAGCAGGAGGAGCAACAGGCAAGACACTTCCTCTATAAACCCCTGCTCCCAGCTGGGAAGAGATAGCAGTAGTGCTGTGAACCAGAGTTGCTGGGGATGCCAGCCCACTGCTCGGAGGCACTGGAGGAGCACCTGGGTGGGTGCGATAGACTCTGAATGTGACCAGATAGACCCGTGCTGAGTCACGTCTGAGAGGCCCTGCAGCTTCCTCCCCTTGCTGGCGGGTCCTGGCACACACCCCATTGCTCCTCCCTTCTTCAAAAGGAAGGAAAGTGTGAGCTCCAGCCCTCTGCGGAGTAAGAGCAGCCAAGAGGCCCAAGGCACCAGCCCTCTGAAAGCCTTTCCCCCATCAGAGCTCTGCAGGGGACAGATCGGCTCACACAACAGCGTGCGGCCAGCGGTCTCTCCCCACACTGCAGGAATGGACAGTCGGCAGCACAACACCCCCAAGGAGCCTGAGATCGAGCTGTTTGTGAAGGTGGGTCTCGGGGGGGGGGGGGGGCAGTGACTCTTTGGCTCACCCTCACCAAGATCCAGCTGGGTGCAGGTGTCTTCATGTTCTGGGAGGCTGGAGATGGGTACCGATTTCAGTGTCACTCACCACAAGGGCTGGCTAAATGGTAACCCAAACAGGGGGACCACGCGGTGGTGTGGGGACTGTGAGGACTGTGGGGTGTCTCACTCAGCAGTCTGAGAGATGCCCTGATCTTGTGATGGTTGTGCACCCGGAGAAGTGGCACTGCTGGCAGCAGCATGATGAAGGAGTGGGAACACACATGCTCCTCAAAACCCAGATAAGACAAGCCCCAGCCTGGGAACAGCAAGCAGGAGGGCTGGCAGCAGCCACTTCAGCCTCTTCTGAGGGCAGAGTTATGAAACAAGCATGGCTGGCTTGGGGAACTGGTGCGGGAGTCCACATGTGGGCGAGATGGGGCGGCACCACAGAGGGGTATTGGCTGGAAATGGTTTCTGTTTTTTTCCCTGTTAAGCAATTTTCTGAACCTTTTCCTTGGAATAGTTTAACACTCAATATCTGCAGTGGCCATGGGCAGTGCACAAAGAGAGGAGCCAAAGCTGGTGGCCGGTGACTGTGTCTGCCCACAGCGATGCCAGGGGGCCCCGGGACACACTGTCAAGTGACAATGAGAAGGAGGCAATGCCTCTCTGTGGCACTTCCATCAGGGTTTTAAGGGTGATTTCTCTGTAGGCACTCAGGCCCATGGGCTTCATTGCTCTCCTCCTGGGGCAGTTTGGTGCCCAAAAGGTCAGAGACACTAGCTTCCTTGGCACAGGCACCCAGCAGTTCTAGGCACTGAATGGTGCCTACCTTGGGAAGTAGTTAGACATATTTGCTAGAAAGGATTATCTGAGCCTTCCCAGGAGAGTTCTTCCCTGTCCCCTTGCCACAACTGTAGCTACAGCACTTCTTGATGGACATTGAACTTTGCTGAACTGGGTCTGGACAAGTGTATTCTTGGTAAAAGTAATCTGCCTTGAATTCTCTGCTTAACACTTTTCCTTGAGATGGCTGGAAAAGAAAACACATGAGGTGACTGCAATGGCAGCAGCACATTCTAGGGGGTTTTCAGAGGGAAGTGAAACAGAAAACCAGCAGCATTGTCAGGACTTCCCCTTTGCTGTAATTCAGCGTGAAAAAACCATCCTGGTTTGTCTGTTCACAGAAAAGTTGATGCTGTGCCTCCCCCTCCCAGCACTCAGGACTCAGTTTTACTTTTAAAGACACAGTAGCTCTAGCTGCTGACAGGAACCTTCCTTTGCCTTCAGCACTTCCCCAGGGTGGGAATGCCCCAGACACAGCTGTTGCTGTGACCAGTGGCAGCTGTAAATCATGGGGAAAGCTGGTGCTCCCACAAGTGCCTACTGGTACAGCATGGCATGGCATGGCATGGCATGGCATGGCATGGTACCCTGCCTAACTTTCACTTTGGCACACACTGGAGTTACCATGGTAAGGATGGACAGGTGCAGAGCAGGTCCCACTTTACCCTGAGGTTGGGGTGGGTGGTTTCCAAGGGGTTGGCAGTTTCTCACCCTACCGTGTCCCTGGCAAGAGCATCGTCTTGTTGCATGGGAGGCTCTCCCTGCCTGGGAGGAAACTCTGCTTTGGAGCTCCACCAGGCATTTAGCTGCTTTCTGGCTCTCGGGGTGGTTGTAGAAGCTGGCAGGTCCCATGGGGACTGAATATTTAGCAGTGCCCCAAGCAGGCAAAGCTTGCCTCCCACTGCATTTAAGATTGTTTCACCATGGGGAAACCACAGGAACTGTGAAGTAGCTTTGGGGTTTCAATGCCCTATGCAGCCTAATGATGCCTCAGAAAGTTGGGGCTAAAAGCCTGCAACTCTCCTAGAGATTCTGTGCTAGTCCGCACTGGGTTTCTCTATCATCTGAGGGTAAAAGATTGAGGAATATCAGTCTGTGCCCTCCGCCCCCCGCCCAGTTCCTGCTGCAGCAGGAGGAGCAGCAGAGGCACTTTGGGGAAGGAAGTGAAGAGCAATGACTCCCCCTACTCCATGCTGCTCTGTGGTTGCTAGGGGGAGGGCACATGGCTGCAAGTCTCCTCTGGGGGCTTCTGGATCCCTGAGGCTCCCCCCACGGCCAGTGGTTGCCAGCAAGGCCCTTCCACAGCCTGATGCTACTCCAGCAGCTGGTGGAGCTCCCCTCCAATTCCTCCAGGTAAGGGTTTTGGCTCTGAGCATCCTGGTACAGGCCTGATTCTTTCTCCCGGCAGAGGCCATTTTGATTTTCTTTTCACTCTAATCCGAAACTCCCCACCTCTCTCTTTTGAAAAGATAAGGGGGAAGACCAGCCTGACCAATTCAGACTGGAGACTGGAGCTACCAGACAAGCATGGTAAAACCTGAAGCAGGTGATCAGAGTCTATGCCCAGAGCAGCCCAAGTGACAGGCACCCCTCCCCTCACTGACCCCCCCAGCCCACCCTGCCCCACCACTGTCCCGATGCCCACCAGGGCTGTGTGTTGCCATGGCTCAGCACAACAGCTCCTGGGGGGACAACAGGACAAATTAAGCCCTCTCATTCCCAGCTTTGTGACAGGCCAGGGAAGTCAAAGAGAGTGCAGCTGGCAGGGAGAGCAGGGAGGAAAGCATTGGTCCTCATGCTAGGCAGCCACAAAAGCACTTGGTGTGCTGTTGATTCTGGAGATGCTCCAAAGCACGGCCGTAGTTTGGGTCATAGGTGGCAGGGGTGCTGGCGAGGGGGAGCAGAGATGCCTTGTGCTCTTGTCCATAGGCAGCCCTTGAGGCTGTTCTCTGACTCTCCTCTCCAGCTCCTTCAAAATAAGATTGAGACCCAGTTTCACTCCTTTCCAAAGAAGCCGTATTTGCTATCAATGACACAGGATGTTCCTGAGCTGTAGCCCCTCTGGCAGTATTTGCTATTAATAGACACTGACCAGCCTCATGTGTAGATTTCAGTTTTACTGTTGGGCACACGTCCTAGGGAATCAACGTTTTCTCAGTTCCCATTTCCTTCCTCAGATTTCATGACATAAAAAATACTTATTAAAAGTAATTTTTGTTCCTCTGGAAGGACTAAAAGGTCTTGGCATGATGGAAAAACAGAATCCCTGCTCCAGCTTACTACCTGGAGTATTGGAAGATTGTTTTGATCCTTTACAGTCCTCCTTAAGGTGAGTTTGATGTCAGTGTTCTCTTCCTGGAGAAGCCGTGCACTCCAGATTCCACAGGTTTTTGGGTGTCTGCGGTGAATTGTAGCACCTACCTCCAGCCCAGGAGAACCAGGCCCAGGTCTCTGTCTCTCAGCCATCCTGTCTTATGGTCCCAAAAGAGGTGTGAGCTCTGGAGCCATGTCCAGCTGCCCACCCTGGATGTTTTTGCTGCTACTTGACTCTGCCAGATCCTCTTAAATTTCATTGCCCTCCTGCTTAACCTCAGGACTTCAGCTCACTATCAGATATCAAAGCATAGCGCAGAGCTGCCTACTAAGGCTCATGTCCCACCACACGCGGCTCCAGGGGAGCAGCATCCTTCTGTAATAGGGCTGGCATGAGCTGTGCTGCTCCTCCCTGCCAGGGCAGGGTGGCCATGAGCCGGAGCACCACACTTCACATGCAGCTTAGGAACCTGGTAATTCTCTTAAAGAAGCTGAGTTTCCTGTGAGCCATTTTACCTCTTACTACAGCACAACTTCCGTCTCACAGCAGCATCTCAGCCAGTTTTTGTGAATGGGAGAACCTTCCGTATCCTCTTACCAAACTCCTCATAAGGTGTTTCAATCATTTTTGCAAAGGATATTTTCAGCTGCTACATAGCAAGGAAATGTGCTTCACTCTGCCTGTGTCTGTGCTCATACAGAGGGGCTGCAAAGGGTTCCTTTAGCAGCTGACAGTCATCTCTGCTTCCTCCCAATCCTGTGTGGGATGCCGGCACAAATTCTCTTTGGCACAACCCTCCTGTGCCCAGCCTGGGGCAGGCTGCTGGGTGGCTCTTGGGCTGGGCACATTGTGCTGGGGTTTGTTAAACACACACGAGATGGGAGGCGGACATGAACAGCACATGGAAACAAATTGCTCTTTTCCTGGCAAACATGAGCTCATTTCCCTTCTCCCACTGTCTCCAGACTGGCGTCCTGGCCAAGCGGACCCTCCCTTCCTCCCCTTCCATTAGCAAACACTTTCTCTCTCTGCCTCCTTCTCCACTTCCTCCCGGCTTTATCTCACATTTCAGGGAAGGATCCAACCCCTTGCATCCTGAGTATGCTCTTGGTGACCCTCAGGGCCCTGGCTTGGGGTGGGTCCTACAGCTGAGCCCCCCTGGAGTCGGGAGGGGCTCCCTGCAGTGTGCTGTACCCAGTGGCTCTTCAGGTCTGGGCATCCGGTCTGTGAAAGGGTTAAATCTTCATTTTTCTGCTTTCCTGGCAGGCTGGTCTGGATGGAGAAAACATTGGAAACTGCCCCTTCTGCCAGCGCCTCTTCATGGTGCTCTGGCTGAAAGGGGTCAAGTTCAATGTCACCACGGTGGACATGACCAGGTGAGGTGGCACTGAAGCCCTGGGCCAGCACTGGGGTGAGACACGCCCTGCTCAGTTCTCCCATCAGCACTTCTTCCCCCTGCCTGCTCTGTAGCCTGTGTGTCACTGCACAGGGACAATCACTGCCCACAAACTGCCCACCTCACTTGGGGCTCAAGTGTGGGTCAGCACGGACTTGGGCCACCTGCCAGTGTGCATGGCCCAGGGACTCCCTGTCCTGCTGGATGTGAGGATGACTTGAAGGACCACTGGCAGATCCAGAGGCTGGAGAGCACTTGTCAGCTCCCTGAAGCCATCAGAGCTGGGAATGTTCCTGGTCCTGTGCTACCTCCTAGTCCCCACCTCTGCTGTGGCTACTTTCCTTGGGGACTGGTGGAGGCAGATCTGCTACAGGCTCTGAGCCAGCTCGTTTTCTCTGCTCCAGGAAACCTGAAGAGTTGAAAGATTTAGCACCGGGCACCAACCCACCCTTCTTGCTGTTCAACAAGGAGCTGAAAACAGACTTCATCAAGATTGAGGAGTTCCTGGAGCAGACCCTGGGTCCACCTACGTAACTGCAAACTCACTCCTTCCCCATTTCAGGGCCTGTCACAGTGTTGTCCAGGGCTCGGCAGATTGGGGAACTAGGCAGGGTGCCAGGAGGTGCCCCAGGGCAGCCCGGGCAGGTGGATGCCCCCCCAGCCCCTGAGCCTGCTCTGCAGGGCAGGCCCTTTGATGCTGAGGGGCTGGGTCCCCTGGGGAGGGCACGGGGACAACAGGAATGGAAAAGAGTGGGAGGAAATGCACCAGCATTGCACCCCTGCTCTGGGGGCACAGGGGAAACATGGGGAGGTCCCTGCAGGGACCCTGGCACTGGTGGGTTTGCCACTGGCTGTGGCAGTTGGTGTTGAGGTAGAGGGGAAAGTGAGACCCCATTGCTTGTTTATGTTCAATGCACTCAGCTGAATGAAAGCAAATGCCCTTGCTTGACAGCAGCAATGCAGGTGACCCATAGGGTAGTTGGGGAGGTGGTCTTCCCTGAGCTCACTGGGGAGCCCTCCAAACCAGCCTCCCCCATGCCCTGGGTGGCTGCAGGCCCCCCACTGCTGCAGAGGAAGCTCAAATACATTTGTCACCTGCCTCCTTGAATGTGTCTGCCTTGCAGCACCCCCTGGAACATGTCAGCAAACAGAAGACAGTTCCTGAGGGAGTCATGGGGAGCTTCTGGCTTCATGAGACCCCTCTGTGCCAATGTGTGTCCTCTGGGCTGGGCCAGAACTGCCTGAAGGCAGGGTTCTATTGCCACCAGTGTTCCCAAACTGTGGAGTATATGCCCTGAGATTGTCTCCTGGCAAACACCCCGGATAGAAGACACAGCTCACAGGGTGGCAGCTGCAGTAATTTACATCATCATGATTCTCCCACAGACAGATGAACATCCCCTGCATCCTCCAGTACCAGCCCTGGGCTCTGTGGCCCAGGAACTGACACTGCTGTATCCCTGCTCCATCCCTGCTCCATCCCTGCCTGCCCTGACATAAATGTCTTTTCCAAGGTATCCACACCTGAGCCCCAAGTACAAGGAGTCCTTTGATGTGGGCAGTGACATCTTTGCCAAGTTCTCAGCATACATCAAGAACCCACGCAAAGAAGCAAATATCAGTAAGGATTTGGGTTGTTGGACTCTTATCAAACACGCTGCAGCACAAGAAATGCTTTTGTCTGCTGGCAAATCCCGCCATGGGGTTAAGGTTCCTGCTACCTGCCTCACCGAAGCCTCCTTGGGAAGTGCTTGGGCAGAGGGGAAGGATAAAGGCAGTTCTCTGCTCCCTCCACAGGGATAACAGCAGAGCATAAGGTGATGCTGCTGTAGTCCCCTGGCAACAGAGATGGGCCAGGGTCAATGCTATGTCCCGATGGTGTGGCCCTGAGGGCTTTTTCCCTCTCTGCAAAACCTGTGGGAGGATCAGGCAGCCCAGCACAGCCTAAAGCTTGCCTGGGAATCCAGGGCATACACTGACTACTCTTGGTTTCCCACTCTTCCAGATTTTGAGAAGGCCCTGCTGCGGGAGTTTCAGCGCCTGGATGTTTACCTGAACACTCCTCTCCCAGAGGAGATTGACCAGGATAGCGTGGAGGACATCACCATCTCCAAGAGGAAATTCCTGGATGGAGACCATCTGACTCTGGCTGATTGCAACCTTCTGCCCAAATTGCATATCATCAAGGTAATGCCATTGGCCCCCAGGGCCAGGGTAGGGGGGTACCTGCTCCAAGAGGAGTGGACAGGGAGTCCCCCTGCCAAAGCCAGAGAGTGAGTCTCCCCCAGGTCTTGGAAGTTTCAGCCTCCTCCTCCTTCACTCTCCTCTAGATTGCAGCCAAAAAGTACCGTGACTTCGAGATCCCAGAGGACATGACGGGCGTCTGGCGCTACCTCAACAATGCCTATGCCTGTGATGAGTTCAATCACACCTGTCCTGCAGATGAGGAGATCGAGCACACATATGCCAGCGTTGCCAGGAAGATGACCTAGCCATAGGGAGGCGTGGGGTGGCAGCATTGCCCTGGCTCAGCCCTCCAACTCTGCAGTCCTGACACAACCAAAACCAGCTGATGGAGAGACTGGAGAGGGTTTCCAACATCGCTAGCTCCTGCCTTTCAGAAACAGCACCTTGCTTCACAGCCCCTGCCACTGCCTCCTCCTTCTGTGCTGCTGGCTGCAACCCCTGGGCACCAGCAGTGCTGACCACATGTACACACTGCTCCCATTTGGATGTAGCTGCATCCCTACTCCCTGAAAATTTTTCTCACAGCCTGTGACTATGTGTCATGGGAAAAGCTGAGGACTAGCCTCCTGCAGTAGTGCTTTCTCATCAAGAGATGACACCCCCAAATGGCTAGGCCAGCCCAGCCTCCCCATTCCCATCTGTCAGCCCTGTGTGGTCCCAGCCATCCTGTGCTTGTCGTGGGATCCCGATGCTTCCCCTGGGCTGGAGCTATTTGTATTTGCCTGTTGCCAACCTGCTCAGCACCTGGGGCTGGCATTTGGACAGCCCTCTCTTCCAAGACATCAGCTCCCTCTGAAGATATGGAAAGGCTTTACCCAGGCAGCTCATCACATTGAAAAATTGTGCTCACTGTTGAGGGCTGTGACATGGGTCTGACTCCCAATAGGACATGGGGGTAGGTGGGTGCTGGGGGTGGCGCCTGGTGCAGCAGTGCCAGGACCAGCTATGGGAGGAAACAAAGGGTCAGGGGACCTGCAAAGGGCCTGTGGATGAAGGGCTAAGGATCAGGGCATCCCTCCCATGACTGCCAGCACCCAGGGCCACGTGCTGCTAGCTGCAAGGTCCCACATGGCTCCTCCCAGCTCAGAAGTCTTTGTGCCTCGCCGAACCCTGCAGAGGGTGCAGCCATGCTCTAGCTCCATACCCCCTAGTTCCCACCAACACTTCTGGCACCTGAGGCTGGGAGCAGCCACAGGGTAGGGCACACGTTTAGTTTCCTCACTGGAAAGCCCAGGAGAACAGACAGCAGCTGTTTGGCTAATTGCTGTGTCTGTGGAAAGGTGTGGGCAGTGCCCCTTGGCTCAGCTTGCCTTCACATCCTGTGTTGCTGACATGAGGCATCAAAGCTGCTCTGCACAGCCATGACATCCTATGTTCCCCCTCTGACATTTCCAGCTTCCCCAGGACTCCTACCAGACCTTGAGAATTCAGCCAGCCCTCCCTAACCAGCCCCAGGCAAATGGATACTGTACAGTGGGCATGGTGGGTTCTGTGGGAACTGAAGAAGCAAGCAGAGCCTCCTCAGCCCTCACTGCCACTTTCCTCTTTGCACTAAATGTGTGTCCTCACAAGCCTGCCTCAGATAGTGCTGGGTTTGGGGACTGGGTTTGTTACTAATGGGGTTTGGTTTGTTGTTTTTTATAAACTAAGAATAGCAATAAACTATATTTTAATATGCCTTTCTGGTGTGCTGTCAGGCCCGCATGAAGGCTGCTGGCATAGAGGGTGCTGTGCAGTGGCGGGGGCTTTCCTGCAGTGGAAACTCCTCTGAGATTTAGCAGAAGTGAAGCTGCAGCTGTAGACTCTGCTGGCCTGGATCACTGGCTCAGAGTCAGACCAATGTGTCTTGGTGCACAGGGCTATTCCTCCCTGGGGGCAGGACTTGGCACTTCTCCTTGCTGACCTGCACAAGTTCTGGCTTTTCAGAAGCTTTGCTCTTCACTGTGGTGTGTTGTGTCAGTGGGAAGTGCTGTGGAAGGCTGGGCAGGTTAACCCTGGCTCCAGTGGGGTTTGGAGGTTGATCAGAAGAGAACATGAGGCCAAGGTTTGGACAAAACACATGGATCCATGCTTTCTTTTTGCATGATCTTCCTTCCTGAGGGCTACCACATGTCTTCTGCTCCTTTCACATCTCACAGCAGCAGGAGGGCAGTGACAAAGCCTTTGGGCATCTGAGCATCCCAAGCTGATTCTCAGTGCATGCTCCGGTCCCTGGAGACAGGACTCAGCCAGTGACAAGACTTATCCTCTGCTGCCGAGAGCTTCCTTGCTGGAGCAGTATTGGATCTTGCTAGCATTCGGAGGAGCCTCTCCTCTTCATCCTAGAAGCTGGCTGTGCAGTTCGTCCTTCTGGAGGATGTGTCTGGGAGCTTCAGGTAGCTGATGTAATCCTAGACTCCTTGGCTGGGGTCATCAGGGGACACTCCTGGGGTGGATGCCCCTGCAGACTGGAGAGGTCAGTCTGGGCTTCACAGCAACAGCAAAGTGGCCCAATTCAGAGCAAGTGCTGGGGTCTGGGGAGTTTTGGAGAGGGAAATACTCATCCTTGCTCTCTGGAAAAAAGGCAGGCAGTGATGGAGGCTGGTTGTCCAATGTCCCAAAACACCATCCATGAGACAGGGTCATGAAAGATGGCTTTTCTGAGACAACAGCACTGAGGTGGTGCACACTCTTCCCAAAGCTGCAGGTACAGAGGCAGCCCCCAGCCACTGGCTGTGTCAGCTGGGACCTGGCCCAGTTCTCCTGTGTTGAGGTTTTTCCAGTTCCCATTAGAGATCTTGTTTTTTTCCCCTGACTTCAATTTCAAATTACCATGCTATCAGCCAACTAGAAATGCTTCTAATTACTTCTCTTCCCCTGAAAGGCTTTAATTCAGAGAAATCCAGCTAGAATGACCTCAACCAGGCCCTTCTAGTTGTGACTGCAGCTCATGCGCTACCTCACTGAGCACATTTCCTGAGGGCATTTGGGAAGTGACTGACAGGCAGAAGAACATTTTAAACTTTCAAGAGCCTAAAATCCTGAGGTGTTATTCATGGAGGAGAGGAGACAGGGCAACTTGTTCTGTGCCTTTCCCTACCTGCACCGAGGCTGGGGCTCAGACAGGTTGAACAGTGCTTGCTTCATAGGTGCCACATGGAAAGTCTCTCTGAAGTCTTGGCATGAGATCCACGTTTCTCAGTCTATTGTGTCCTCTCATCTTATGGGGTTGGACATCACACTGGGACTTTCTTGAGCAAGACGGGACAGGATGATGAGCAGCCTGAGCCTCTATTATTTAATAGAGCCTGAGCCTCTATTATTTAATCACGAGGCTGACTGTGACCCTGCTGACCACAAAACAGAGGCTCTCATTTCTCATGGAGTGGTTGAAGGTACATTATCCAGAGATCATTGGTTACCTCTGTTTGCCAGTCCCCATCTGTCAGGCATGGATATAACTGGAAAACAGCTGAGATGAATCTATCATCCATTTCAAGTGGGCATGCCACCCAGCTGGGATTTTTCTCCTAACAAAAATCTTTATCTAGCCTGTTTTCCATCCTCTGGAAAATAGAGGATGGAAAAAATCAGAATCCTGCCAGGTTTTATGTCACAGAATGAAAAATCCTGGAGACAGGCTCATGCCATTTGCTGTGGTGCCATGAGGAGGAAGCACACAACCCCCCCCCACCCCAACTCAGAGTGCATCATGAGCCAATATACACCCAACTTGGAGGGCAGCTTGCTGGTCCTGTCTGTCACCAGGAGCATGAATGATCCTAGGGGACAGAGAGCTACGGGAGCAGTGCCAGGAAGTGAGAAAGTGTTAAGCTGAGCTGCCATTCCCATAGGCTGCAGGACCAGAAATCCCCTATCCCCATGCATCTGAAGGATGGGAAACACAGGAACTGGCCGTGTGTCACAGACCCTTAGAAGAGCAGTGGTGAGTGGTGAGGACAAGACAGGGGAGGTTGGCCTGCAGAGTAAGGGGACCTGGTGACCAAGCTAGATGGTATATGAATCTGTCAGGTGCCCTTGGCACCTTCTGAGTGCAGACACTTGCCACGCATCCCCAGGTGAGGGCACACCCAGACCAGCACATGAAGTAGGACCAATTTTGCTCTACAGTCTCCTGGGGTGACCTGAATGTCCCAACCTCCCTGCTTGGGTCCCAATCCACTGAATTGCAGGAAAGCTCCTGCATGGAGAGAAACCACACAGGTCTGAGCAACCAAATTAACTTTTCTGCAGCCTGTCAGCTCTGCACCCCTCTTCATGCATATCCTCTAAACACACCACACTCAGGCTCCAGCCTTTGGGGCTCTCACAGTCCCTACCCACATCCTGCTCGTCTTCCCAACCAAGGCAAGCAGCTTAGACCACTGAGAGGGAGGTGCAGCAGGAGTCAGTGGTCTGGATGTTGCAGCTCAGACCTGTCAACCCACAAAGTCTTTTGGGGCTGAAGGATGGGGTCCAGCTGTGATGCTGCTGCTCTGTGCTGCTTCAGGGACCTACCTGGAGCTACAGACCCATCAAAGGCAACTTGCACAGGGAGGCTGAGTGACAGTGCCTTAGTGAGGTCCCAGGTCTTTTCCATATATACAGATGCGCAGGACAGCACTTGAAGTGGCTGTGAGGATTTGGAGTGGCTCTGGGCTGTCCGAAAGAAGTGGCAGGGCAGCTGCAGTGACAGGCAGGAGAGAAAGCAGACAGAGCAGAGTGGGCACAGGGTCAGAGCAGACCCTGCTGTTTGCAGCTCTGCCTCCCATGGTTTTCAAAGGCTAATGGTCCTGGGTACTGCCAGCCCACAAAATATAAGAGCTTGATTTTCCCCCATTATTTCAGAGCCACCACATCTCTTACGGCTGTCAGGTACAATGGTTCCCACTCAGTGACTGTGAAAGCCCCATTAGCCCCCAAAGAGCAATTTTCCAGTGTACACCATTTTCATGGGCTGGCAGCTCTGCTCTCTGAGAATTAGTAATAAGAAATACGCTCTTGCACAGTCCTTAACCCACTGTTTCTAATAAAGAGCTGTTTGCAGCGGCATCTCTCTTGTTGCTTTGATCTGGCACCAGCAGAATCTGAAAGCATCACAGAGAGAAGGAAGGAACAGGGGATGGATGATGGTGAGTCAGAGCTTTCACCAGCCCCCGCAGCAGTACCTGCAGGCACAGCGCTGTGCTGTGGGCGTGAGGCCAGCTCCAGAGATGGCATCTGACCTCCACAATGACAGTGCTGTAGGGTGGCCTGGGTACCTAAGGCCCAGTTGCTGGATCAGCCCTTTCCAGGCTGTGGAGGGAGCATGGAATGCCGAGGGAGGACCCTGCTGTATGCAGGTGACTGAGTGATGGAGGGACTGGTCCGGGGTCCTGCGCAGACCTGCCTGGGGCTGATGTCTTGCCTGGGTTGGGGGCTTACTCCTGACCCATGTCCATCCTCCAGCACAGTCCAGTCCTGGTGAGCACATAACAACCTGCCAGGTAGACCAAAGCGGGATCTAGTTCAGACACTCCACTCAGGCCCCACGCTCACATAGTGGTGACAGGTCTCTCCTGGGACATGCTGGGACCTCACCCCACAGCGAATGTTGCACTTTTTCTCTGTGATTCTGCAGAAACCCGCATGCTACTTGCACCTCTGAGGCAAAGCAGAAACCCCCTCTTGCATCCACTTGGAAACTTCAGCTGCTGATGGCACCTTGAAATGTCACAACCTTTCTGTCTTTTTCCACTCCCCATGAAAAACTCTTTTATATGAGTGGGAACATTCCAGCTGTCCAGGGCGAGGGCCAGGGCAAGCCCCTGCTGCCAGTGAGTGACTGCCTAAATCATCCATGGGGACCCCAGCACCCTGGTCCAGCCACAGAGCTGGTCCTCTTCAGACTTGCAGAGACCTGGCCAACTGTGATCAGAGCACCGGTCGTGCCCCAGTGCAAGCCCAGCTCCCACAGCACAGCAGCTGTGGGAGCCAGTCTGGTCCAATTGCACTGGTCCAGCGTCCTGGCAAACCACCCAGGATGGGGCTGGAGCAACATGATGGACACCGCTGGGCCTGGACAAGCTCCTGCTTGGGATGTGGCTCCTGCCATGAGCCTGTGGCACAAACAGCAGCTCTGACTGATGCTCCTGCTAAGAGATGCCTTGCCTGGGACCATGCAGTGGCCTTCCAGACTAGTGTGGGTTTGGAGGCCCTGTGGGCTATGGGGATGAGGCAATTGATCAAACAGGGCTGCAGGCATGTAGGGCTTCACCCCCATGACCTTGAGGCAGATCAGACACTGTGAGGGACAAAGGAGATGACAACTGGACACCAACTTCATAGGTAGAAAAAAGCATATGGGTAATACATGTGTTCCTCAAGCAACTCTTGGGACTGTCTCTTTCCTTTTTTTGGTTTTTTTTTTTTTTTTTCTTTTTTTCTTTCTCTTGTGTGTGTGTGTGTGTGTGTTAATTCAGCTCAATTTCTTCAATACATGACATGTCCTCACATTGACTGTCAGAGATGACCTGGGCCAGATGCCAGACACAGCCCAAAGCTGCTTTAGCAAACCTGTTTTAGCTTGGTCTCCTCTCTCCATGGGGCCACAGGTCCTGCCTGCCAGGAGCTTGCTCCAGTCATGATCTTCCCATAGAGTCATGGCCTCCTTTGGGCATCTGGTATGGGATCCTCCCTAAACTGCACATGGATCTCTGCTCCCCCATGGACCCTTGTGGGCTACAGGGGTCAGCCTGCAGTACGAGGCAGGGATGGAACATGGCTGGGGTGTCAGGAGTGACGGGGTTGGAACATGGCCCTGCACAGCCCCAAAGGCTCCCTAAGACTGGCAGCACTGTACCTCCATCCCCTCCATCAGCTGCCTGGACACTAGACGCCAGTTTCTCACCTGTTCCCAGATCCAGAGTAATTTTGTGAGTCCAAGAGCCTGGATTTGTCACTGCATTTTGACTCCACTGATTCCAGCTTGTGACACAGCACAAGGAGGTTTCCCCTGGCCTCTGTAGCTTCAGGCAAAGCCTCAAAACACATCCTGGGGAGAGAACCGCAGGGAGGGGCTTCTCAGCCATAAATCACCCCAGTGCTAGCAGGAGGAATAATAAATATATCCCTTGGTGCTAAAAAACAGTCTTTTCCCACAGGAGAGCAAGACAGAGATTGTGGGTGCAATTTTTTGCCTGGAAAACCCCAAGTTTACTCCCTTCCTTTCCTGACTGCTGCACAGGGAAGGGTTGTGCTGGGTCTGTAACACAGAAACAATGAATAGAGAAGCCCGTTTTCTAGAATAAATTAGTGATATTTAAAAACAACTCCGGCACAGAATCAACATTTCTAGAATCAACACAGAAGTAAAAACCCCAACATTTTTTTCATTAAAGAGCTTTACAAATATATATGTATATATGAGTGTTACATTAGTATAGATACTGTACCATACATGCACACATACAGACAGATCTCTAGATAAGAGTTTTGGGGGTTCAGCGTTGGTCCATGCTCCTTATGAGGTGTCTCAAGAGCACCAAATCCCCAGAGGAAAGCTCTGGATCCCCCCTCGTCCTTGGTGGATCCTTGGCGGCAGTGCCCGGAACGTGCCTGTGCCTGCCTTTGGAGCCTGCCCCGGTCCCACGCGCAGCCCTGCCCCAGCAGGTTGGGACAGACAGACAGACAGACAGCCGTCCCGGGGAGCTGGGGGAGGCGCCCTGGGCTCTGCTGGGCGCTGGAGCCTGCCCTGCTCGCTAAAGCTCGCTGCCCTCTGGGGCCCGGGGCTCGTAGCCGGAGAAGGGAACTGTCCGCAGGACGCTGCGGGGCGAGGGGGGCAGCCGGCAGGGGCTGCACAGACACGGTTCTCCCTGCTCCGGGTAGCCTCGCTGCACGGTGCTGTCACCTTGTTCTGGGTCAGTCCCGCCGCCCCGCAGGGTTTGGGGAACACAGAGGCGCTGCCCTCCCTCTGTCTCCGCGCTGGGCAGGAGCCTCACGGAGCTGAGCCGGATCCAGTGCCCAGCCGTGCCCCGACTCTCCTGCAGGTGCTCCTGGCTGCAGCTTCTGCTTGGCACGGGCAGAGGCAGGTGGCTGTCTGCTCCCAGAATTGGGCACTGGCATTTAGAATAAAGCTGGAGGTGCAGGGGGAGCCATATTTTAGGTATCTGGCTGTCCCTGTCACCTATGTAGCTGTGTCCAGACAGTTCCATTAGCACCAGCTGCTCTGGCAAATCATCCCCATCACCTGCCTCCTCATCCTTCTCCAGCTGTGAGGGGACCTGAGAACCTAAGGCATGCCCCAGCTGACTGTGGGTGCAGGATGGGTCCCTTCCCTCAGTGCAGTTTGGGCCAAACCCATTGGCACAGTAGCCACTCACATCCTGGACAAGGCCTTGCAGGAGCCGTGGGACCATGGCTGATGCCTGCACAGCTGTGGATGGCCCGTGGGAGGGGAGCACAGTCTGCAGGAGCAGGGCCAGTGGGTCCTCCTCAAGCTGGAGTGGAGGCACCTGCATGGCCACACTCAGCTTGCTGTTCTGGAGAGTCTGCAAAAACAAAAGCAGTGACACGGTCAGCCTCAGCTGGCTAAAGCCCTGCCAGCTAAGGGGTTGTTACAAACTATGCTGAACACCAAGGGCTCCACTGCCTGAGACCCCATCCTCTGCTGTGACCCATGGCTGGCCAATGCCCTCCACCAGTACCTTCTTCTGGGGGACAGTGGTTCAGACGGCAGGGGAGACACCTGGGTACTAAAATGGGCTTGGTGATGTGAGAGTTGGAGGAAAGGAGGTGCTGAACCCTTGCAAATGCAGGGAACCCTGGCTTGGCTATGGCTACACACAAGGTGGAAGTTGGAGGAGGATCATCACTCACCAGTGCTTTTGGGAGGCACATCTCCGGAGGATTGGGAAAGACATGCAGCAGCATGAAGCAGATCCCAGCCACACTTAGCGGCAGCAGCAGGAAGAAGGCACTCAGCACAGCAAGGACCCATGGAAAGCCTGCCAGGACATCACAGCAGGCTGAGGGGTCACTCAACCACATCCCTCCCACCCCACTCTCTGTCAGTGCTTCCCATCCATGTCACACTGGGATGTTTCAGGAGGCAAGCCCAAGGCAGATAACAAGAAAGCATCACCATGAGAGGTCCCCACTGGGCAGCACTGGGCCATAACCCTGACTACAGTGGCTGGGGGTGAGGTATTCACACCTCCACACAAGTTTGTGCTGTGAGCAGGATCTGAGATGCAACCGTGCCAGCTGAGTTGGTGAGAGTCCTCCCACCTGAAGGGGCTGCTGGAGTCACCAGGCACTGCTCAGCCTCCCGGCTCCGCTCCCTGGCAATGTCTGCAGCCATCGTCCGGACACAGTACTGTGTGCTGGGCTTCAGGTGCCCAAAGGTGCAAGGCACTTCCTCGCTGCTCTGTTTGCAGGGCACCTGAAAGCAGATGGAACAGCTGGCCACAGAAGCTGGAGGTGGGGTTTGGGCATGGCTCCACTGCTCTGTGCAGCCTCAACATCCCACTTGCCCCATGGTCCCTCCTCCCGGGCACCTCCAACACTCAGTTCTTTGCCCCAGGAGGTGTTCAGGTCCTAGAGCATCTCCTGAAACACCTCTGGCATCACTTTTCATCTGAACAGAACCAGTCCTGTTCTTCTTACCCAGGGGAGGGAAGTGGTCTCCTGCCTTGCTGAGGTGGGAGCCCCAGACTGGGGGTGCACAGCACCTCACACCTGCATGTGCAGCCAGGTGTGGGCAGGGCTGCAGCACAGGCACCCCCACACCACTACAACTTGAGATGGTAGCTTTGCTGCACCAGGAAAGCTTGTGCAAGCCCTGCACCTCTGGGCCCTGCCCAGCTAGCACACATACCTCCTGGACAAGCAGGTCCCCCTCGTACAGATGCAGCCAGTACCACAGCTTCAGCAGCACTCGGTTGACTGGCTTGTAGGAACCAGTCCTTCTCTGGTAGGGAGTGGGTGGTGTGATGATGTTTATGCTGAGGATTTGGTCCTGGAGCAGCCAAGACAGCTTGGGAGGGCCAACAATTGCTGTAGGGAAGGGGAAAAAAAATAAAAAATTAAGGCCTTCAAAGGAAGGCAGACATTTTGTTTCTCTAGAAATTCTATTTTTCTGTATGACATTTCCCTCCTAGAGCACAGAAGTTCCTCAGGTCTTGCCTGATGGCACTTTGTGCCCTGAAACCAGCTCTAGGAATGGCAGCCACCACATCTTCATGACAGCTAGCGCTGCTTCTGCCTCCTCTTCACACCGACAGACCTGTGGCACCACCGGCTCCCTCTGCTGAGACCTTCACCCCTGAGCCATCTACCAGGGTCTGGAGACCCCACTACCAAGGCCAGCAATCACTTCCTAACTGAATGCACCCACTTCCATGCCAGCTGGATGCAAAGGGAATGAACAAGGGAACACAAATAACCAGCACAGAATCCATTTATCTTACACATTCTGTTTATTGCAACAACCCCTCTGATGGACGTCAGAGGAGGGTCCTGAAAATTTTCTAGCTTCAGGAGACTACTAGGTTTTTTGGACAGAACAGCTGGTCTGACTGAGAAGAGGCACATTCCCACACCAGGCAAACACAATAGTCAGGATGAAAGGATCACCAGAGGGTCTGCCCGTGCTTCATCCCAGACCATGACAGGGGAGGAAGATGAGCCTTTCAAAAGCCAGGCCTGGAGGCATATCCTCTTTCCTGCCCCATCTTGATGCATTCCCCAGAGACCCAAATTCTCCCTGTGCCTTGCTGGCCTGGGCCCTCCTACCAATCACCTCCCTGTGTCTTCTCTGTCCTTTTGCTCTTCACCCAGCTGTCTTCCAGCAGCTCTGCCTTATCCCTTTCCTCTGGTTAGGGCTCTTTTCCCTCCAGTATCCTAATATGCTTTCCCACTGTATCCCATCAGATCTCTCCAAGGTCCCCTCTCCCCATCAGCCCCCCAAGAAGAGCCCAACTGGAGAAGCTCCCCAGTCCTTACTGTCTCTGTACAGCTGCAGCTCGCTGGAAATGGCCCACTCGGACTGCTCACCTCCGGCCACCACTCTCACCCGTGCCCAGTAGATATCATGAATCCTGTCAAAATACAGCTCACACACACAGGAGTTTCTGCTGTTCCCCCCATAGGCACCTGCCTTGGTCCAGTTTGAGGTTCTGCCCAGGGAGAAAGCACAGGGATTGCTTCTTTTCAGCATCCTCCCAGCCCAAAGGGAGGGCTGCCCAGCCACTGCCATCCTGCCTGGGTGGAAAGTGTAGGAAAGCCCAGGCATCAGCTAACAGTGTCCCCGGGATGTGTGAGGAGGGGGGTCACCAGCAAGTTGATTCTCTCCTGGGGACAGATGGCATCTGGCACTGTGCCCTGACCTGTGTTCTCCACAATGAAAAACCACACAGCTTTGGCAGGGAGAACCCACCAAGGAGTTGAGGCTGTTGAGGCTCTGTGCTACAAGGGAAACTGAGTGAGTGGTGACAGCTTGAGCCTCAGAGAAAGGTGACTGTGGGTGGGGGGGGGGTCTTATCAAGACAAGAAGAAGATAGAGTCAGTGGTGTCCAGCAAAAGTACAAGAGGCAGTGGACACAAGTTGAAATACAGGAAATCCCATTTAGCATAATGGGAAAAAAAAAACAAATTCAAAACCCCAGTCCAAAAGCAACCCCTTAGTTTGTTATTGGGATAGTGACCAGGAAAGGAACCAAGCTGTCCAGGGATATTGTCCTGAAGTTGTTCAAAACCCACCAGGACACACTCCTGAGTTGACCTTGCATGTGCAGTGGTAGGACTAGCCAATCCCTGCCAACTCCACTGCTCTGTTACCCTGTGGCATTTACTGCCAGATAACAGTCCTCTGGCTGCCAGGGGTCCCCAACAGCCTCTGCCAGGGTGTAAGAGGACCAGACCCCTTCACCCCCTCCTCCCCACCCACCTGTTCCTCCACTCCACCTCATAGGTGGCAGAGCTGGGTGAACTGGGGTCTGGCTCCCAGCGCAGCAAGACGTGGAAGTTCTGTGCCTCCAGCCTGACGCGCCGTGGCCTCAGTAGCGTCCCTGGGGAGGGAGCAGAGGGGTATGAGGCAGTGTCCTGCAGGGTCCCCTTGTGGCACAGGTTCCTCAGCTTCATCCCAGCATGGGCAAACACTGACTTCAAAGTAGGTGCTCAGCACCTGTATCCTCCCCAATTGGTCACACACTGAGAACACTCTCTCCACACTTCTGCCAAAGCAGAGATACAGATGACAAAACAGGAGAGACAACACCCTGACACAGCTGCTGCTGACCCGGGGGTTTTCTTTCTCATCATTCCTTGACGACCACTTGGGCCTCTCCTCTTAACAGGTACCTTCAATAGGTTTGAGAGGTGTCCCTGTGCCTCCTCCGGCCCTGCAGTCCACCCCCCCCCCCCCCCCCCCCCCCCCCAGACTGTGGTGACAGCTTCAGCACTGGCTTACCCTGGAGCAGGGAGCAGCTGGCCAGGGAGAGCAGCAGGAGCACGGCAGGGCTCATCCTACCACAGCCCATCCATCTGCCCCAGCACTACGCAGCTGTGCTGGGGGCCATGGAAAGGGATGGGTGTGCTGGAGCTGTTCTGCTACCCACAGACATAATGTGCTGCTGGGACCTGGGATTAAAAACAGAAACTTCAGCCAGTGACACTGCCCCATGGAGCCCACATGCCTATTGTGGCACAGAGGTGTCCACTATGGAGGGCAGGGGACCTTCTGCTGCATTCTGGGGGTGCCACAGGGCAGGTACCCTCAGGGCTGTGGTGGTAAGTAGACCCACAGGGACAGTGGGCAGCTGCCACACTGCTATGGCACTATGCACATGCTGCAGCAACCTTCTGTTGCACCTACCTCTGGCACCCCACGGTGAGATGTCACACTGCCTTTGTCACCAGGATGTGGGTCTGAGAAAGCTCCTCACCTGAGGCTCACACCACTGGGGAGGTGACTCAGCCCAGCTCTGGGCATGACTCACACTGGCACAACCTGTGACACCACTGCCAGGACAGCCCCAGCCATCCCACAGACTCCCCGGTACGGGGAGGGCACCATGCGTGACATCACCCTCAAGGCAAAATGGGGCACAATGAGGGTTGTAAGCAGAGACCTCAGACTGTGAACCACAGCAGAGGCTGGTCCAGCTGGGCACCTGTACCTGACCAGTCCCTTCTTACCTTGGTCTTGCCCCACCATTCAGCCACCAGGAATCTTGCCCTGCTCTTGCTGGTCATGGAGGTAATCTTCCTCTCCTGGAGCAGACATGCAAGGGCTTTGAGGCTACCAACACCAACCTTGTGGTTGTGGGGACACATTCCCCCATGAAGGTGGGGAGCCCAGGGCCACCTCCAGAGGCAGAGGGGTGGGAGCACCCCTGACCAGATGGGACACCAGTGGGGCTGGCTCACCACTGTCACTGCTTCTCCCTCTTCCCATTTCACACCAACTTTTCACTATTACAAGCGCAAGCACCTCAGCACGTGGATACAAAACATTGCCTCCATGTTTTCTCTGTCCTTTGCAGGATTAAGAGTTTAAAACAAGGAGGAACAGTCAACAAGCAGGGACATGCAGCTGCAAACTGTGGGTGAGGGCCAAGCTCTGAAACACCAGAGCTGAAGCACAGGCAGTCGGCCTAGGGATTCCCCCCTCGCTGAGACCAAGAACCCTCCTGGCTTTGCAACAGAGCCCATTGAAGGAGGCAGTATTTCTGCCCGGAGGGAGAAAGAGCCTCCAGGGTTGCTCCTGGGGCTTACAGAGGCACAGAGTCGGGGAACTGATGAGACCCTAGGACTGGCTGCCTGTGCAGGCAGGGACAGGGCTGCTCTCACTGCAGAAGGCAGCACAAGGGAGGCAATGCTTCCCTGAAGCAGCAAGGGTGACTGCAGGCCAGTCCCTGCTAGCCCCCCTCTGAACCCCAGCACATCTGTTCCCCTTCTGCCATGGCCAGAGGAAAAATCCCAGCAACTCTCCCTCCGTTGTGGCATTAACTGAGATTGTGGGGATTAACCCCCTCTGCTCTGCACATCCTCTCCTTTTCTGTATCCCCATCACACTACCCTGCAGCACCAGCACTCCCCCCAACCTTGATCCAGCATTTCCTCTCTACCCCTCTGCAGTATCAGAAACCCACCTCATCAACCACACTGTTAAACACAACACCCTCAGCTCAGCAACCTCACGTTTGGCTCCGAGTGTTCACTGGAAGCGTTACCACGGTCTGCTCAGCTGCCAGGCTTCCTCCAGACGGGGGACAGTCCGTGTTGTCTGTGCCACCACGCTGGGAGGCGTGATTTGACTTGGGCGGTTTGTACCTCCTTTGCTGAGCCAGGGTTTGTTTTTTCCTTCCTTGCTTCCTCATTAGAACCATCCCAGCTGGGCACGGGTGCTCAGCAGTGCCCTCTGCACACCAGAGCTGAGGCACAGCCTGTCCCAGCACACCATCCCAGCAGATGCACTACCCCGGCACAGACCATCAGTGGTGTGGGGACAGAAAGGAGCAAGGGCTCAGGCCAGGGGTGACACATGGCAGGGCAGACACAGGCCAGGACATCCCAGCAAAAACAGTAGCAGGTTTTATCCTTGCCAAGACCAATGCTGCAGGCTGGGCCCCCTCAGTTTGCCCTGGTGACCATGAGGGACCTGCACGTGGCTCTGCACCACCTCAAGAGCTCCAGGCCTCTGGCAGCCCAATGGGACAAAACACAGCTGAACTTGTGCTTCCCAAGAACTGTGCAACCATTGCAGGACTAACAGAGCATTGACGGCAGCCCCACAAGGGCTCATAAGCACCATTCAACTCTGCCCAGGGCCCAGCAGTCACTGTTGGCCTGGGCATTCCAAAACAAGAGCCCTAGAGTGGCCAAGTGCCACCCCGGGGGGCAATGCCAGCATCTCCACTCTTGTCCCTGCACCACTTCAATGGCCAGCAGTGTTGGGTAGCCCTGATACATCGCTGGTAGAAATGGGGCTGGGGCCTGGCAGGAGCTGGAAGGCAGACAGCCATGAGGAAAAGGACACATAGCCACAGTAGACTGGACAAGCTCTTTAATACCTGGCTGAATACCAGTGCTGAAATGCTCCCAGCTGTGCCTGACAGCTGCACACACTGCAGAGCCCAGCATCCACCACCCCACAAAGCGCTGTTGGTGAGGCAGGCCTATGGCTCCTCCAGCCCCCTCAACCCCTCTCCCTTTTTGGTCAAAGGGTGGGTGGAAGCCTGCAGGAGCCTGGAAGGACTGTGGGGGCTAACAAGCCTGGGTGCAGCAGGCACAGTCCAGCCCTGTGGGTAGAGTCAGGCCAAAGAGGACCCCCATGGGCCCAGGCAGCCCCGAGGGGTGCTGCACAGCTGCCCTCAGCAATCTGGAAGCATGTCCTCTGCCCAGCTCTCACTCAGCGCTTTGAAAGCAGAAAGGTTACAGAGCTGGCCAACTCCATGGTCTGGAAAAGGTGGGTGGGTGCCCACTGCAGACAGGATGCAGGCAGAGCATCCTCAGACTGTGGCACTGGGGCTCCTGAGGGGTACGGGAAAGGCAGGTCTCTCCCTGACAGAGGGTGCCACAGGGATGAGGACTCAGTGGCAGTGGTCCAGCTGTTCCTGCGCTGGAGACACCACCAGCCACTCCCAGCAGGGTGCAGGGGGATGCAGAGGGAGCAGGCAGTGCCATGATGGGATCAAGCATCAGCACTTGTCACTGCCTCTGTCCCTGTCACCCAAGATTAAACTTCCCCTGGCAAAACCCATCCTCCAAAGGCTTTCTCCAGGTACCGGGCCACCGCCAGTGTCAAGTGGTCATTGTAGGAGGCCGCCACCAGCTGGATGCCCAGTGGCAGCCCCTCGCTGCCCAGCCCCAGCGGGCACTGTGTCACCGGCAGGCCCAGGACATTGAAGATGGCTGCAAGAGAGAAGGTTGGATAGATCAGAGTGAGCACAAAGACTGGGATACATCACTGCCTGGCTCTCCCACCCTGGGCAGGCAGCTCTGCCATACACAGCACCAAGATCCTGGGAGCTGGTGCTTCATGCAGCAGTGCAGAGACATGGTGACAAGGGACATCACTGGCTAGAGATTCCCAGCACCCACATCATGTGTATAAACAGCATCCATGAGGGATGGCATACACTGTGGCATGCAAAATTTGGGACATTCCTGTGCCAGGCACCAGCTCTCCATCACTCCACAAAGCAAGGCAGCACTGACACCACATGGGAACCACACAAGGGGCCCCAGGCTGTACCCCATGAGATGGCAGGTTTCAGGTTCCTGCTAAACCCCAATATCACACACAAAGTTACACCTGCCCTGCTGTGGACAGGCACCTTTGGCAAAAGGTAAAAGATGCCACACAGTATGAAGCACGACAACCTTCACTCCAAGACAAGACACCTCTCTTTGTTGCACAGCCCACTGTCAGCAATGCAAACACTTTGGATACAACACCCCAGCTGCCAGCCCACACTGCTGCCACAGGGAGATCATTTTGGTAGCCCTAGCTGCAACCCCACAGGAGCCAGGGCTGCTCACCTGTGTAGGCAAAATTGAAGGGCATGCAGATGGGGGAGTGGTGCTTGGGGGCGACGGTGGGGTGTGAGGGGTAGAGGAGCACCCCATCTGGCCCCAGCAGTGCCTCCATCTCCTCCTGTAAGCTCTTCCCCATGCTCACCAACTTGGCCTTCCCACTGAGGTTGAGGTTCACCAGCTTCTCTGTCAGTCCCAGGGCTGCAGCAAAGGGTAGAAATGGGGACAAGAGCATATGAGAGGACTGTGGTCTATGTGGGGCAGAAACAATGCCTAGCCACATGCAACATCCCCTGCTTTTGGGGTGGCCCCCCAAGTACCCCTTCCTGCCAGTAGCCACAGCAGATTGCCCCTAGCACAGCTTTGTGGGCACCATTCCCCCAGCTCTGCCAAGGGACAAGCATTCAGCCTGCTCCTTCCTTCCAGCTTTTCCAGCCAGTGGGGCTGAGCAGAGCTGGCAGAACGACCCCAGCACTCATTAGACAGCAGCACAACAGTGTTAATTAGGGTTCTCTAGTACCTGCTGCTATAAAACAAGATCAGTGCAGACCCTGACTGAGCCCTCTGAGCCTCCAACAGTTCTGGTGTGGCTCACAGCAGAAGTGAACCCTGCCCCCAGCTCCATCATCCTCACTTCTTCCTCCAAGGTACCCACTCCCATCTATCAAAGATACAGACTCTTGAACTAGCCTTCAAAACTAGGCTGAAGCTGCTCAGGGCAAACCCCGAGTTCCTTCACTGGGCATTGGAAGGGTAATACCTGCATTTAACAACTTGCCCACCCCAGCACTGCCTCTGCACTTCCCAGGGCCCCTGCCAGCATTACCGATAGCTGGAAGAGTGTGAGAAGACATCCCCACGAGCCACTTCATCAGCTCCCACAGCGGCCACACTGGCTTCCCATGGTCCCCCAGCAGGTCTGTGAATCTTTGTGCCTCCTGTAACACACCCACTCCCCCTGTCAGCAACGCCAACATGCAGCAGGGAGGCACAGGCTGGCAATGGACAGTGAAAT